TGAGGTCGCCTGCGCAGCGCCCCACCATCCCATGGCCGATCCTCTTCGCAGCTGCTGGGGGATGCGGCTGCGCTGCGATCTGACCCGTTGCCGTTGGTACTCTGGCAGCTGCGGCCTGGAGCTGGCGTGGGATCGAGATCATGTGGCAAGTCGACGCAAGAGGTGGAGCACGCATTTGGTGCTTTGGGGCCTCTCAGGTGCCTCGTGGGAGCCTGATGGCTGCACTGAGCTGCCAGGGGGTATGAGATTCCCCCGCTCACGCCGAGATTGTGGAGATGTCTCGGGCGAGGCGCTCGCCTGAAGCCCTCGACGTCTGTACCGTGAGGGCCTTACGATCGCCATGATGCAGGGGGCGCCGCACCTGGGTACCCCCAGAGAGCGCCGCCAGGCGGTGGGACACCTGCCCGGTCGCGGCCAGGCTGTGGGGATGCCTCGAGCGAGGCGCTCGTTTTGGAGTCGCCGACTCCCGTGCGTGGATGGCGTCATGATCCTTTCGATACAGCAGGCGCACTACTTGGGCACCCCCCTTGGCCGCCAGGGGGTGTGTTGCACCTGCCCGTCCGCGGCCAGACTCTCGGGATGCCTCGAGCCAACCGCTGGCTTGGGCACCCCCGACTCCCCTGCGTTCAGAACCCTTATGATCACCGCGATGCAGCGGGCGTGGCACTCGTGCACCCCAAGGGGTGAGCCGCCAGGTAGTGTTACACTTGCCCGCTCGCGGCCAGCATCTGCGGAGGCGTCGAGCGAAACGCTGGCTTTGCCACCCCCGGCTCCCTCCTCCTCCTCCTCTTCCTCCTCCTCCTCCTCCTCCTCCTCCTCCTCCTCCTCCTCCCCCTCCTCATCTTCCTCCTCCTCCTCATCTTCCTCCTCCTCCTCCTCCTCCTCCTCCTCCTCCTTCCTCCTCCTCCTCCTCCTCCTCCGCTTCCTCCTTCTCCTTTTCCTCCTCTTCTTCCTCCTCCTCCTACTCCTCCTCCTCCTCCCCCTTTGCAGGGCCCCCAGTGCAGCCCGACGGTGCAGACAGCTCCGGCGCTCGGGCGCTCCAGGCGTGAGCCGGCAGGGAGCGCTCCGTCGCCGCAGGCTTCACGCGGCCCTCTCCCGCGAACGCCCGCCCAGCGGGACGAGCGCCCGGAAGCGCAGGGCAAACCTGTCCGAGGCGGGAGGTCATAACATGACCACCGCCTGGAGGATCAGTGTTCGGGGACCTCGGCAGGCGGTGGGTATGAGGACATAGTAGGGCCCCCCGGGGGCCAGAAGGTATCCAGGATCCACCGCCCGCTGAGGCACCAGGACGTCGGCGCCGACGCGGTGGGCACGGATACATCCCCGCCTCGCGCAGATCCACCGCCCGCTGGGGCACCCGCGGGGCCTGCGGGTGCCTCCCGCGGGAAGCAGCCGCGGGGAGGGGCGGCGTGGAGTGGAGCGGAGCGGGCGGGGGGGGGGGTCCACGACGAGGGCGGGGAGGGCGGGGACGGAGAGGTGAGGAGCGAACCGGCTGTTTGTCCGTTCTCGTTTCAGACTCCGCACGGGATCATCCGAGGACGCCCCAGGACGAGCAGGAAGAGAGGCCGCTCCCACGCGGTGGGCATAGACAAATCCCGCCTCGCCACCTGGGGCCCTCCGTCCGCATCGAGCGCCGTGCATCCCGGGCCTCGTGCGCTCCCCCGGCCCCCCTCCCTGCGGGCGTCCCGGAGGGGCGCTGGCTGCCCGGTGGGCCCGCGGGCCCCGCCCACCGGGGCCTCCCGTGCACGGGGCCCCTGGCGCGGGGCCCGGGCCGCATGGAAACGCAAGCCCAGGATCCTCGAGGAGGAGGAGGAGGAGGAGGAGGAGGAGGAGGAGGAGGAGGAGGAGGAGGAGCAGGAGCAGGAGGAGGAGGGAGGAGGAGGATGAGGAGGAGGAGGAGAGGAGGAGGAGGAGGAGCAGGAAAAGCAGGAGGAGGAGGAGGAGGAGGAGGAGGAGGAGGAGGAGGAGGAGGAAGGAGGAGGAGGAAGAAGAGGAGGAGCAGGAGGAGGAGCAGGAGGAGGAGCAGGAGGAGGAGGAGGAGGAGGAGGAGGAGGAGGAGGAGGAGGAGGAGGAGGAGGCGGGCCTTTTGGGCCGCCGAGTTGCGGACGTGAGGCCAGGGTCTCTCGCTGGTGAGTCCCGCTGGCTCTCCCGTGCACGGGGTCCCCGGCGCGGGGCCCGGGCCGCATCGAACAGCAAGCCTTTGGGCAACCGAGTTGCTGACGTGAGGCCAGGGTCTCTCGCTGGTGAAGGGATTGGACCGATCTAGGACCACTTCTGGTCGTCTTGTGCCGCCGTGGCGAGGCCGTCGGCCTCCGTTGGGCTTCGGGGCTTCCGAGGCTGTCTCGGAGCATGCTTCGTTTGTTCGTGGCCCAGGCCATCATCCCCCATCGCCGTTGTGTGTATATACGTGTGTGTGCTACGAGCAGTCTCATGTGCTGGTCATGACGCAGTCGCAGAGCCATTTGGTATGCTCAGGCTGGGTACCCAGAGCCACCTTTGCAACCTTCTAACAAAGTCTTGCCTCACCCATGGCAGGGATTCAGCTCCGAGTTGTCTTCCCTCTCCTCTGGTCACTATTCCTACAGCCCGCGTCAGCTGGATACACCGACATCTGCCCAGAGCCAGGTGATTGGATCAACTTGTCCATTCCGGTCCGACAGTGCGGGGTGTGCCCTCGAGGACCTCGATTGCGCAGCCTCCGCTATCAAGCTGGATTTCAGCAGACGAAAGTGGTGTTTCTCAACCAGCACGGTGGGCACGTCGAGGTCCGCTTCGTAGATCCCGAAGGCCTCGAGACGCAGCTCGAGACGGTGGCACCCGGCCAGCGCTGCGCCCTCAGCGCTGGCGAGGGCCACGTCTTCAGGCTCGTCAGTGCGGCCACGGGGCAGCTCCTGCTCGAGCACATGGTTGGTCGTCGAGTCTTTGAGAGCCCGGCACTTCCGCCTGCGCACGATGCCTTCGCAGATAATCCAATCATTCGCGAAAATGCTTTGGCGGAAGGAGCTTACCTGAACACCGGTTTCTTCAACGCTGGCGGCAGCGGCTTGGAGGTGTACTTCAGGAGCGAGGATGGAAGCGAAACGAAGGTGTCCAATTTGGCTGGAGGCCACAGCCACCTGGAACATACGTACCATGATCACCAATGGACGGTGCGTTTTGCAAATGGCGCTCTGCAGAAGGCCTTCAAGATTTCGGACGTGCCAATTATTGACTGTCCTGAATTTGGACGGCCAAACGACTTCGACACTCCGTTGGAGTTAATCGAGCAGATTTCCGAATCATACGCGAATGTATCAAAGCAGAGGACACGACCAACAGCCGAGGAAGTAGAGGCAGGTAATGCAACGTGGGCCACGTGCAAGGCTGATGGACAAGATTGCAAGCTGAAGACCGCTACCGACTGAGCATATGCCAGGTCAGAGTTCATGTCTACCCCCGCGGTGTTCGTAGGTGCCGTTTAGCCCGTCACGATAAAGTTGATCCACGGTCTTCTGAGCTGGTCAAAACAATGTACCGACGTGCAGGGGTGTCTCTTCGAACCAACATCCTTTCAACATTTTACACATTGAGTCCGTGTTGAATGTGTCAAGCACCTTGGCCCAATGTAGCATCAGTGCGAGTAGCCCTCCATCAACGTTTGTATTCGCAGCGTCAACCATACGCCTTGCAAGCATGAGGGCCTCTACTGTTCCACATCACTGGCGAAGTTCGTATTGAGAGGCACGAGGTACACGTTCCAAATCCTGGGCGAAATCCGTACCCGAAAAGGTGAGAATGCGGAAATCCAACAGGCCCTGCTGGAGGTCGTCTTGGAACCTTCTTGGGCCGTGTGGAAGCCTCTTCGGCAGTCCCGAGGCCATCTTGGACCGCCTTCGGGCCATTTTCGGCCGTCTTGGACGCCCCTTGGGTCATCTTGGCGGCCTGCCTGGACCGTTTTGGAAGCCATCTTGAGCATCTTGGACTCCTTGGAGAGCTCCATGGAGGCGTCGGGGCCTTAAGCCCTGGAAGCGGCAGGGCCGTCTTTTCACCGTTTTAAAATGTCCCTTGAAAATGGAAACTGCAAAAAAAACGGCGACCGGAAACGGCAAAAAAACGGCTCCAGGATTGGAACCCGAGCCAGAACCGGTCGCAAAACGGCGACGGAACCGGTAAAAAAAACGGCGTCGGAACCGGCAAGAAAACGGCAAAACGGAACCGGTAAAAAAACGGCCCTGTCGTTTCCAGGGCCCACGAAGGTCGGGGCGCTCACGGAGCCTCGTAAGGGGGGGGAGGGGGGCGCATGCAGCTGGACGCTGGTGGAGGGGGGGTCCTTTTGAAGACCACAGAAGCCCTGCCAGACAGCACTTGACATTCTACCACCCCTCAATGTGCCAGGGAGCACGGCGGCGGAGACCGAAGGCAGCCCCAATCGGCTGTTCGCACGTGCAGAGCACGTCAAGGCCGCGGGCCGGTGGCGGACGAGGACTGACCGACCCCCGCCACAGGCGGTCGATGCTGTCTATCTATCGGTTTACTCTCCACGTTCTACCCTCTTCTCTCCCTTCGCTGCTCTACTCTCTTCAGGAGGGAAAAAAACCCACAGACACAATTAATTTGCGATTCCCAGAAAATATGGGAAAATATGGGAAGTGGGGGGGAAGACAAAAACCCAGAAAATATGGGAAAATATGGGGAATCATTTTATTTGTGTGTATTTATTTGTGTGTCCCAGTTTCCCTTCATCTCTGCTCTCTGCCCCCCTGCTCCCTGCACGCTGCGCTCCGAGCTCTGGGCTCGCCTGCGGGGTGTCCCTTCCCCTCTCTGCCCAGGCTCGCGGGCTTGAGAGGGGGCGGCTTTCTCTCTTCCCTCCGCCTGCTCTTCTCCTTCCCCTGCATGCCGCAGCTGCTGCGCGACGCGCGTCGGGTCACCGTCTTCTTCCCCCTCCCCCATTTCTCCCCCTCCCCAGAGAGGGATCAGGAGGAGGAGGAGGAGGAGGAGGAGGAGAAGGAGGAGAAGGAGGAAGAGGGGGCGGAGGAAGAGGGAAGGGAGGACGAGAAGGAGCAGAAGGAGGGGTATGAGCAAGTGCACGCAGTAGTGGAAGAGCAAGCGGAAGCAAGCAGAAGCATCTGGAAGCAGGGGCGGGCACTTGCAAGCACGTGGCAGCACGTGGGAACAAGAGGCAGCAGCTGGGGCTGGCCAGATCCAGCGGTGCACCGACAGCGAGCCAGGACCAGCGGCTCAGTCGCGCGACCAATCGAAGCAGAACACACCGCAAGGAACATACGTGTTTCCGCAGCGCCGCGCGGACGTCTTGGGTCGGCGCCGGGCCCCCTCTGGCGGCTGCGCGCGCGCCAGGGAGGGGGCAGCCCAGCGCAGATCGAGGACATCCGCGCGGACCCCCGGCAGGGGCTGCTTCTGCCCGACGAGGCCCAGCTGTTCCGGGACAGGGAGGAGGAGGAGGAGGAGGAGGAGGAGGAGGAGGAGGAGGAGGAGGAGGAGGAGGAGGAAGAGGAGGAGGAGGAGGAGGAGGAGGAGGAGGAAAAGAAGAAGAAGAAGGAGGAGGAGGAGGAGGAGGAGGAGGAGGAGAGGAGAAGAGGAGGAGGGAGGAGGAGGAGGAGGCCAGCCTCGGCGAGAGCTGGCCGCACGACGCGCGGCCCCCGCGCAGCTCTGCAGGCGCCCGGCCCCGGACCGCCTCCGACCCGTGCGTCCAGCGCAGGGCCTGCCCGCGCTCCACCCCCCTCCTCCTCCTCCCCCTCCCCCCCCTCCTCCTCCTCCTCTCCTCCTCCTCCTCCTCCTCCTCCTCCTCCTCCTCCTTCTCTCAGAGCGTGAATTACCTACCCCGCTTTCGCTTCCAGGCAAAACCAAGCCATACCATGCGCCTCCTCGTCAAGCGGCCTGACCAGTACAGGCTGCAATTTGGCATCGTTTGGTATCTCTTGGAAGCGAGGGTGGTCAAAAGCGAGGTAGGTTTGTTTCCCCCCTATTCTCCTCCTCCTCCTCCTCCTCCTCCTCCTCCTCCTCCTCCTCCTCGTCGCTCTGGCCAGGCGGGGTCTCCACGGCCTCCCCGGCAGCCGCGGGCACCGGCGCGCTCGGCCAAGGAGGCGCCAAGCTGGAGCCCGTGGAGCACGGAGGCGTATACGCCGTCACGCCAGGGCGGCGGGGCCAGGGGGCCGCAGGCGACCCCTTACCCCTTCCCCCCCTCGATTTCTGAGGGGGAGGGTGGGCTTCCCTTCGCTCGGGAGCTCCCGAGCGAAGTGAGCCCCGCCCTCCCCTTCAGAAATCGGGGGGGGCAGGGGTAGCCTTCGCATGTGGCCCCCTAGGGGCGTCCCGAGCGAAGTGAACCCCGCCCTCCCCCTCTAAACTCGTGGGGGGTAGGGGTAGCCTTCGCATGTGGCCCCCTATAGGGGCGTGTCGGGGCTGGTGGCGCCCCCGCGTCGAGCCCGGGAGTGGCTCCTCGGGGGCGACGGCGGGAGGGTCGGCCGATGGTCCACCCCCTTTGCAGGGTGCCGTGGTCGGCGTGTTCTGGGGGAGCGCGCCGGTTGGGGACCCCGCGCCCCAGGGGCCAGGGCCCGGGGAGGAAGAAACGCTCGGGGGCCCCCAAACGGGGAGGTGACCACACCGTGTGGTGAGTCGGTGGGGATTCGGGGTCACCGCACGGTTTTGGGACTTGGGTCGTTCTCCGAGGATTTCTCGGGCGACTGGAGCCTCCAGGGTCCCAAAACCGTGTGGTGACGGACCGTGCGGTGAGGTCTTTGCGGATTTCGAGGTCACCGCCGGGTCTGTCACCACACGGTTTTGGGACACCCAAGACGCCCCGACCGCCATCGCTGGCGTTCGCGAAGCGCTCCTGGCGCGTTTGCTAGCCAGCCCGTGCCCTGTTCGGCTCCTTTTCTCCTGGAGGTCCACTTGCTGGAGGGCCTCGCTTGTGGGGGTGCTGATTCTGAGGGTGGTTCTTCCGGCCTCCACAGAGGGGTGCCGCAACTCTTGTGTTCCTCGCGCTGGCCGGTCCGAACGTCGCCGCCGTGGAGCGCTCATTCCCGTGCGCGGTGCTATGATGACCCTCCAGTGCACGCGCTGGTTGTTTGGGAATGCCATTACGTCGTTCGATGTTTACCAGGAAGCTCACCACCCACCAAACCACCCCAACCCAATCCGAATGCTCAGATTTACCCTCGATTTCCAGTGGGGGGGGTCGGGAAACATCGACAAAAACACATGTGGAACCCTTACCCCCCCCAACCCAAAATTCGGGTCTTCGGGTTGGGTTGGGGTGGTCTGGTAGGTAGTCAGAAGCTGCACACACATGAGGCGGCTAGCCTGGGCGAGGGCTGCTGGATACATCAGTGGCCGCATGTATTTTGAGTGCTCGGCCCTAGTATGACCCGGCAAGCTGGCCCTCCGAGTGTCGTGTATCCAGCAAGTGGCCTCTGGTGTGTGAATCCAGCCCTGTGTGCTTCCAGCTTTCTGGTATGGTCTTCTGTTGCCTTGCCCTGGCACTCTCGGCTTGATCTAGTCGCCCAT